GAGAGAGAGAGAGAGAGAGAGAGAGACATTCTTACTATGTTGCTCAGGCTTGTCTCAAACTTCTGAGCTCAAGCACCCCTCCCATCTTGGCCTTGGTACCAAGATAATAAGCATAGGCAGCACCACAATCCAACTTTCTTTATGATCTTTTTGCACTGTTCTAATAACTAAAAATATTGAACATCTTTTTGTGTGTTCATTCTCCATCTATACCTCTTGGGCGAAGGATCTATGCAAACCTATTTTAACTGGATAGCTTTCTCATTACAGACTTTTGATAGTTCTTTGCATACTATGAGTACAATTTCAGATTTGCAAATATTTTCTCCCAAATAATGGCATCTGTCTTCTCTAACAGAGTATTTTAAAGAACAAAGTTTCAGGGACTGGTGTTGTAGATTGGGTGAGAAAGTACATGCTTGGCATTAGCTAGGCAGTCCCCAGCACTCAGCAAAAAATTCTTAATTGTGATGAAGTACAACTTGTAGGGAGCAGCTGGCGATGAAGATTGGTCACACATGTGGGGCTGGAGCAAGGCTGGTCCTGAGAACAAAGAGCACCTAAGGTGAGCCCCATGAACAAGCAGCTCCAATCAAGAAAAAATCAAGCCCCACAGCAATCCAAGAACAGGTTGCCAAATGTACAAGTAAACACACTGTGGTGGTTGAGCAGTTCCTTTCCTCCCATCCAGAGAGGGCTCCACCTGACTCAGCTTTCTCTGACACTATTTCTCCATCCTCCCACCATCGTTCCTCCTGGGAACTTCAAGAGCTGTACTGGACAAAACTTAGCAGTTTTGACATACGGATCACACTTTTGTGTTCTATCTGACAAATCTCTAAGTAGATCACAAAAGTGTTTTTCCTATATTTCCTTCCGGATTTGTATAGGCATCACATGTTTATAATTCTTTTTGGTTAACTTTTTTATAAGGTGCAAAACATGAAGCCAGGTGTGGTGGAACATCTTTACAATTCCAGGACATAGGTGGCAAAGGAAGAAGAATCAACATGCATTTGAGGCCAATCTGTGCATAGTGAGTTCAAGCCCAACCTGAACTACAAAGCAAGATCCTGCCTAAAAAAATAAAAATAATAAAAAACATGAGCGCTGGGAGATAACTCAGTGGTCTAAGCACCTGCCTGGTAAGTACAAGGACCCAGGTTCGATTTCCAGTATTACATGCTGTGCCAGCCCCAGAATCCCAGGAGTGCCATGCTGGCCACCAAAACTAGGCATGGTGGCACACACCTGTAATCCCAGCACTGGGAAGGCTGAGACAGCATCACTGTGAGTCCAAACTGCATAGAAAGACCTTGTACCAAACACATAAATGGTTTTAAAAAAAAAAAAAAAAAACATGAATCAAAATTTACATTTTTCTACTGAATTGCCTTTGCACCATCATCAAAAATTAGTTGAACATATATATGCAGATCTCTGAATTGTCCTGTTACACTAATCTCTTCGCTTTTTTATTAATTTTATTGAGAGAGAAGTAGCAATGAAACAGTTTCAAAACAGGTTAGTAGGACAGTTAAAATAATGAATACATTGCATATTGTCTTTGTAGTAGTTATTCATAGCACAAGATGCAGACATGATATCTTGTCTGAACACTATTAGTTCAAAACTTTGTTCTCATTGAACTAAGAGAAAGTAGCTGTATATCTATGCTATTTGCATATACAGATGTATTTTTTCACTACAAAATGGTCCTTGATTTATATCCCCCTTTTTTGCTTACTTTTGTCAGAGATGGGTATTCCATTGTCCTTCATATATTGTAGGTGCATGAATTCAGCACAGTAATCTAATATAGTCCAATAGTCTACAATAGTATGGGTTATCCACATGACTAGCAATGTCAGAAGTTGTTGACTTGAGCCTTTTACAGCTCAGCATATTAATACAGCTTTACT